TTAAGGATTTGTAAGGATGAGTTTGTCCTTTTCTGTTAAGAAATTTTTTTGTTTAGTATAAATAATAATAAATGATTTTTAAAATAACGATTTTTTCGCACAAATTCAAAATTAATATGTTTAAAAGACATTACGTTGAAATAACTGAGATATTTAGAAAAAATGTGGAAATATTTAGAAAAAAAATGGAAATATTTAGAGATTTTTTGGAGAATTTCCGCAAAGATATTTAGGCCATTTTTCGAGATATTTGTATCTAAGCCTAGCCGCGTCTCATCGTATCGTGTCGTACCGTATCGTACTGTGTTAAATCATGTTATATCGAACTGTGTCATGTCGTAACACACCGTATCGTGTCGTATCGCACTGCATCGTGACGTAACACACTGTATCGTGTCGTAACGCACTGCATCGTGTTGTAACGCACTGTATTGTGTCATACTGCACTGTATCATGTCGTAACGCACTGTATCATGTCGTAACGAACTGCATCATGTCATATCACACTGTATCGTGTCGTATCGCACTGTATCGTGTCGTAACGCACTGCATTGTGTCATACTGCACTGTATCGTGTCGTAATGCACTGTATCGTGTCATATCGCACTGTATCGTGTCATATCACACTGTATCGTGTCGTACCGCACTGCATCGTGCCGTATCACACTGTATCGTGTCGTAACGCACTGTATCGTGTCGTAATGCACTGTATCATGTCGTAACGAACTGCATCATGTCATATCGCACTGTATCGTGTCGTATCGCCCTGTATCGTGTCGTTACCTCGGCGCGCTGGCCCTCTGCTACGTCCTCGATGACTACCACATCATATATCACATATCATGTCGTACTGTCACATATCATGTCGTACTGTCACATATCATGTCATATCGCACTGCATCATGTCGTACTGTCACATATCATGTCATATCGCACTGCATCATGTCGTACTGTCACATATCATGTCGTATCGCACTGCATCGTGTCGTATCGCACTGCATCGTGACGTAACACACTGCATCGTGTCGTATCGCACTGCATCATGTCGTATCGCACTGCATCGTGTCGTATCGCACTGCATCATGTCGTATCGCACTGCATCATGTCGTATCACACTGTATCGGGTCGTATCGCCCTGTATCATGTCATATCACACTGTATCATGTCGTAACGCACTGTATCGTGTCGTATCGCACTGCATCGTGTCGTATCGCACTGTATCGTGTCGTAATGCACTGTATCATGTCATAACGCACTGTATCGTGTCGTAACGCACTGTATTGTGTCATACTGCACTGCATCGTGTTGTAACGCACTGTATTGTGTCATACTGCACTGCATCGTGTCGTATCGCCCTGTATCATGTCATATCACACTGTATCATGTCGTAATGTCACATATCATGTCATATCGCACTGCATCGTGTCGTATCGCCCTGTATCATGTCATATCACACTGTATCATGTCGTAGTGCACTGCATCGTGTCGTATCACACTGTATCGTGTCGTATCGCCCTGTATCATGTCATATCACACTGTATCATGTCGTAACGCACTGCATCATGTCATATCGCACTGCATCGTGTCGTATCACACTGTATCGTGTCGTATCGCCCTGTATCATGTCATATCACACTGTATCATGTCGTAACGCACTGCATCATGTCATATCGCACTGCATCGTGTCGTATCACACTGTATCGTGTCGTATCGCCCTGTATCATGTCATATCACACTGTATCATGTCGTAACGCACTGCATCATGTCATATCGCACTGCATCGTGTCGTATCACACTGTATCGTGTCGTATCGCCCTGTATCATGTCATATCACACTGTATCATGTCGTAACGCACTGCATCATGTCATATCGCACTGCATCGTGTCGTATCACACTGTATCGTGTCGTATCGCCCTGTATCATGTCATATCACACTGTATCATGTCGTAACGCACTGTATCATGTCATATCGCACTGCATCGTGTCGTATCACACTGTATCGTGTCGTATCGCCCTGTATCATGTCATA